ATCATGATTACCAAATAAGTTAATACGAAGTATAAACACTGTAAGAATAAATGAGATAATTCTTAATATATTCTATCTGTGAGAAAGAGAAATTATTTAAAAAAAGTACTAACGTCACGAACAAGGCTGTAGTTTAGTATATAACGAACTGAATTTGTATCCTCAAGTTGCGTATAAGATATTTGCCACAAAAATTGGATGGTCTGTCAACAGATAAAGTCCACGTTTTATTTTTCCAAGATAATTTCATTCGGTACGCAAGATAATAAAGAGTTTCAATTTGTTACCTCGTTTTTTAATTCCGTGCTCTCTCGATACAAAGGGCATGCGTGGATGAGTCTTATCATCTTGTCCACCTGAGAATTGAATAAATCAGACTTAAAATTTCTTACTTTTTTCTAAAGAAAAAAAAAAGAATTAAAAAAATTAATCTTTCAAAGGATTCTTTGTGTTGGATTGTAATTTTATCGTGACATAGTTGCTAAATTTTGAGAAATATATTGAATTTTCTAATGAAATAAAACGTTGTTTTATGAATAATACTGATAATTTAATTAACGTCACTGTGATTTTTAGCTCGTTCTGTGCAATTCGTAATTTTACCGAGGTCTTCGAATTTTTCGTGTCTTGATTTTTGAATCTTCTTTCAGTCTCAAACGAGAAAAAGATTTCTCAATGCTTCAGATACTTCACAATTTTGTCCATCAAAGAGATTGAGAAACGAATTTTTTACCTGTCTCATTGCATATTCGCAATCGTAGCTCATTACGGCGATTTTCAAAGTACCAGCAACACCGTCTAACATGAATATCAATATATGATCTAATTTTTCTACGACGTCAGCTTTTCTCTGGATTTCCATGTATATCCAATAAGTCGATGCACTGAGGTATATCAGCGTCGTAAACGTATATATTAGTATTTGAACGTTGAACATGTGGTTCACCAATTTCGAAACGCTGCAGAGTTGCAGATGTAGAGACCTGTAAATTTGCGAATTTTCAAATTATTTATTCGTTGATAGATTCAAGATGATATACAGTAAATTTGAATTAGATTTTACTCGGCAGTAAGTCTTATTCTACTAAATTAATCATCTATTTTAGAACGTACATTAGCATTCATAAATATGTAAAGATAATATCCGACTTACAATAATAATAATTGACTTTTTCTAAATTCTAAAACAGTCAATATTATCGCATGTATTAAACTACAGTTTCTGCTATTAAAAAGATAAATTCATCTTGAAAAGAATAAATATAACATATATGACTACAGTTTCTTATTTTCTTATTTCCTTTTTACATTGTTTTGTTTGCTCTTCAACCTTTATAATTCATTGCTGTAATTATCATTAATTCTGTTTACCTGATTTGTTGAAGTAAACGAAGTTTCTCGACAGTCGGTGATTCTTTCTCAAACTTTGAAGTATCGTTTATGAAAGGTATTTGTGAAACTTCTGCAGAATGACTGGACGAGCAATTGTCGATTTCCAGTCGGTTTCGAAAATTACTACTTGGTTTGAAAACGATTTCCTCGTTGGATTCCTTGGCGTTTCTTTCATCGTCTTCCAAAGGCAACAAGGTTTTCATGAGCTGATTTATCATTTTAAATCGCGATCCCAACCAACTGCAACGCAATGATTCAGTATTAGTTTAATACTAAGAATATGAAATGAAAGTGATATTCATTTACACGATGAATATTTTGCTCTGAGTATCCCATTTTCCAAAGTTAAATATTTTTCCTATTTTTCACGTACAATATAGCTGTGTTGTAGTCGTACAAAACAACTGATTGGGCGTTCGTGATGTAAATGTACGTAAGTGTAGGGAAGTATAACAGTGGAATCGTCCGCACTATCCATGTGATGAAAATTCCTAATATTATGATCGCGTTCAGTAGCCAGAATGATCCTACGATCTTCACGTGACGAAACAAACAGCGATGATCGATCTCAATCCCGAGATTCTTCAAATTTTCGTCCACTCTGTCAATCTGCTCCATTAGTCTCAACGCATTCTGAAACAAGAAAAGAAATAGATAAAAATAATTAAATGCAATTCTACTGACTTACTTTGTAGATGGAAAGTCATAAATAAGTCATAAATAAGGATACTTTCGTGTTTTAAAAGAAAAGAATTTATGTTCCCAACGATTGTGAAAAAAGAATTCGTTACTCACTTTGGATTGGCACAAACCGATGATCACTGTACTCGTATAGCCGAACGCGTGAGTAACGTATTGAAATATGTACGTAATGCGTTCTATATTGAAAGCATAATTTCTCTGCAAAAAGTTCAGATCAGCATGAAATTGAACAACAACGATCATAAGAATCAGAAATATGTTCCATGTCCAGCTGCAAACGAATTTGAATGGATTCTTTCTTGGATCTATGAAGTTACGGAGTGCCGCTATGTGATTCAGTATGGTTATTATCCTCGTCGTTGCTCCATAGTTGTTCATCGTTATGTTAATCTAGATCAAGATGGAAATCGTTAATAATTTTTTTACAGTGATACTGAATTTTAAGAGCGATAAGATAAAAAAGAAAAACAAAAACATTGGTTTTGATTTTCTGTGCAAAGGATTTTGAATGGATTTCAACGATTATAAAATTATTATAAATATGGAATCTTTTGTTTGAAATGACGATGTCAGAAAATTAAGAAAAAGTGAAGAAATGAGGTCATCATACATTTGACACGCGAATTAAAACGTTTAATTAAATTCTTTGACTAAAGTTCGTGGTCTTTATTGTTCATTATTCGTAAATTTCGGATTATAATTGTGAAAATAAATAAATAAAAAGAGGGAAATGCTCGACGCGTGCACTACATAATATTGGATTCAATATTATCTAATTAAGTATTCTATTCTTTCGTACTTCACTATTTACGACGTGTGTGACGCAAATTTACATTGACCTCGAGTAAATGCAATACAGTACGAGTAAATGTAATAACGAGGTATTATGATACAAGTGAAAATAAATAATGTTTGTACCAGTTTGAAACGTGAAAGAGTATACGACATTAATGTGACTTTTTTCTTCGCACGACAAAAATGTAATAGCAGCTCAATATGTGTTACGTCTCATCAAGGAAATTGTAAAAGAGAGAAAAAGGCAATTCATTTATCTAGACGTGATATTATCTTGTTTTTCAAAGAACGTGATGGGCGATAAACAAATAATAGAATTACGTATGATTACGATCACATTCGGAAGTCTAAGCGCTAATTATTATTTTATTCAATGTGTGTAAAAAAATTACTAGTGTTCCACGTGTGTCTAAGCTATTATACTATTACACAGTGGAGTAAGAAACATTATATTTTATTCATTTAATTAACGTCCATTAACGTAATTACGGTGTGTGTTGATGTTCTCGTCGTTTACTAAGTTTACTCTATTAAAGGAAAAATTTATAAGGGTTCTTATAAAATTAATAGAATTAAAAATGGACAATGAAGAGGTACAAACATAAAGTCGTTATTATTTTCGTTCATTTATATATCTCATTTAGTTTATACAAAGAATTTGAATATGTATTCCTGGAATCATTATATAAAATAAAATTAACTAGTTTAATTTTATTTTATACGTACGCAACCGATATGAATGAATATTTTAATATTTACATAATATTATCTGAACATGTTATTGAGATAATTATAATAATATTGAATATATTTTTCGAATTATTCAAACTATCGTTCAAAATGAATACCTTATACAGCAATTGTGATGATATTAATTTTTATATCGTTGATTATATAATCATACTTCATAATCAGATCTCTGTATCTAGCGTATCTACCTATAAATATAAGAATTAGAAATTAATGAATAAGTTAATAGCTGTAGCAGTATAACGTTTAATACTTACAGTTTCTCTCTTTCTGTTTTACCTTGTGTTTTATCTATAACAGAATATTATCGAAAAGCGTGAAAAGTCAGGTCGGTATACTTGTCTGAAAAATGGAGGTCTCGTTTGTGATTATGCCTGATTCATTCACGAACATGTTTTGACTCATTTGTATTGTGATCAGCAAATAAGTTATTACGAAGGTGAAACACTGTTAGGACCATGTGAAACGATTTTTAATATATTGTACGAGAAATAAAAAATTATGTAAAAGGTTACTAACGTCACGAATGAAGCTGTAGTTCAACACATAATGAACTGATTTTGTATCTTCAAGTTGCGTGTATGAGATTTGCCACACAAATTGGAGGATCTACCAACAGATAAATTCTACGTTTTATTCTTTTTGTTTTTAAAGAAATATCAGTCACATGCAATTCCAATTTTTTTTACCTCGTTTTTCAATTCTGCATTTCCTTGATATAGAGGACATGCGTGGATGAGGTTTATTGTTTTGTCCGCCTGAAAATCGATTAGATTTAAACTTGTTCTTTCTAAAAAAATAAAGATTAATTTGTCTGAAAATTATTGATTGAGTCATTTTTTATGTAGTTGTTCAAATTTTAAAAATATGTTGAATTTTTGTAATAAAACTAAAACTAAAACTCTGTGAATAACATTGATGAAGTGATTTACATTGTTATAATGTTCAGTCCTTCATTTTAAATTTCTAACCCCTAATATCTACGGACTTTTCGTTTCAATTTGAGAAATGTATTTTAATATTTTTATTTGTATAATAAAAAAAGAGTCTTATAATATTCCTAATAGGAATACATGATTTGGTAAAAAAAAGAAAAAAAAGAAATGAGCTAAAGCACACAGTAGGAATAAAAAAGATTGAGAAACAAATTTCTCACCTGTCTTATCGTATATTCGCAATCATAAGTGATTAGTGGAATTTTCAGCGTGCCAACAATGCCGTCAAACATGAATATCAATGTTAAATTTAACCAGTTTGTGAAATCAGTCTTCTTGCGGATGTTTATATATATGAAATATCCAGTTATACTAATATACAGAAACTTTGTGAAGCTATATATTAATATTTGGACGTTGAATATATGATTCACCATTTTCGAGACGTTACACACTCGTAGATGCAGGAATCTTTAAATATATGAATTTTGAAAACTTTTTATTCAGTCATAAATGGAGAATATAGCGATAAACGAGAGAAAGTTTAAAAAATTTCATCCAAATTTCACTTTTCCTAGTCTCTGTGAGTATCAGTTTGCATTAGACATTATATACCAAATTAATGGAATGTACATTACAGTTCATAAACACGGAAACATTTTGACCGATCTGTATTAATAATAATCAATTTTTTCAATTTTTAACGAATTATTTTGTTCATCATATCACTATGCGTTCATTATTGAACAGAGGAACCTGCAAAGTCGAATAATAGAACATTCCACAAAATTTAATAATTTAATAATTACTTTGTATTTGAAACTTTCTGTCATCGTTGTAATTTGTTGTCGATTCAATTCACCTGATTTTCTGAAGCAGACGGACTTTTTCGTCGATCGACCATCTTCGTTTAAAATTCGAAGTCTTGCCCACGGGAGATACTTTTGTAACCTTCGTTCGAAGTCGACTTCGGAAACTGTTACTTGCTGTGAAAGTGATTTCTTCATCGGATTCTTCCCCATTTGTTCTCTCATCGTTCAATGTTTCAAGAAGCTCGTTTATCATTTTAAATCGCGATCCCAACCAACTGCAAAGCGATTCGATTCATTTTAAATTGAAATGTTAATGATCAAAACTAATGTTCTCAGACACTGAATATATTACGCTGGTCAACATGATTTTTATCACAGTTTTTATATATAATACATATGCTGATTTTTGTGTTTCTTTCGACGCGAATGCGAACATGCAATGTTTCTCTCTGCTGTGCTCCAAAAAAAAAATTCGAATTTTCAACTTTGAACATTTCTTTTATACAGTTGTACATTTTTGTAACAATATAAACATTTAAATATGCTCGAACAATGTTCGAAGTAATAACGATATCCGAAACGTGCCGATGTAGATATTTTGTAGATATTTTCAATTTATAAAAGAAATAAAAAAAGTAAATAATTTATAATTAACTTATAAATAATTTTAATTTGTAAATAAAATAAAGAAAAAATGGTGCGGAAACTATCAAGAAAAGTTGCGAATGAACCTTTATTCGTGCGTTTTTCTCTGGCGAGCATTGAAAGACAACAAAATTTCAGCGTAAAGAATACTATCAAATCACGTGTTAAATCTTTTGTGATAAAAAAAAAGAAGTAAAATTTTGTAGATCAGTGTTATTCTATTTTATACCGACAAAGCGAAATTGTTATCGTACTATATGGCCGTGTTGTAGTCGTATAAAATAACTGACTGGGCGTTCGTAACAAAAACGTAGGAAAATGTACACAACATCATGTATGAAAATGACTGCGTCTCTATTATCCATCTGATGAAAATTCCACATGGTACGACCACGCTCAGTAGCCAAAAGGATCCCATGATTTTCACGTGACGAAACAAATTGCGATAATCGATCTCGATCCCCAGTTGCTTCAGATCTTTGTCCACTTGGTCGATCTGTTTTACTAACGTTAATGCATTCTGAAAAAGACGTAAAAATAACTAAATACAAGAAGGATGTAATTTCTTACTTTATCTTAAAGTTTCTTACTTTACCTCTTAAACCAGCAAGAATACTTTTTCGTTATTAAAAATAAAACGGAGGAAGGATTCATTATTCACCTTAGATTGGCACAGACCAATGATTATTATAACGATGTATCCGTACACGTGGCAAACATCTTGGACTGAATATATAATGCGTTGTACGTAAAATTTTACAGTTTTTATGTAGCTTGCTGTAGTAGAAAGTTGTATCAAAAGAATCATAACAACTACAGATATGTTCCAGATCCAACTGCAAACGAACTTGAATAGATTCTTTCTTGGATCTATGAAGTTACGGAGTGCCGCTATGTGATTCAATATGGTTATTATACTCATTGTTCCCCCGTAGCTGTCCATCGTTGTTTTAATCTATTTGTACAGATCAAGGCGGGAAACGTTAAAAATTTTACACTACGTGTTATGTGAAAAGTAATAATTTTTAGTGCGTCAAGTTAAGTAATAAGAAAGGAATAGTTTTTTCGATTATCTGTGATGAAATTTCGAGTGGATTGCAGTAATTTTGGAATGTGT